AGTTTTATGAACTGTTTATGCTGCCAACGAACGCACTAACTGGCAATGCTGTAAACAATAATAAGATACTAAGTGTATCAACCGGTATTACATAAATGATACCAAGAAGATCACTGATCATAGCGCACACAATATTTTTCAGAGTTCCTAAGCCTGATGTGCTGCTTTGGACTGACCAAAACCACATCTTCTCCATGGAAGGAAAATGATGCCATTGACAAAAGATCTTCCTGGTGCTGAGGAGCAGAGCCTGGCATGGCGCTGTTCTTGTGCTACTTTGCTTTTAATCCCTCATCTCCAGTGGTAGCAGCTCGTACAGCCAAAAGCCTCTACAGCAGCCTAGGTGCCTTAATTTTCTTTTGGGAACCAAACTCAAAGAGCTGAATTCTTTTCTGGTTCTTCACAGCATTTGTTGCAAAGCACCAGACTATTTTTGTCAGCCAGGTATACACTCTTGAAAGGAGAAAGGAAAAAGATGCCAGAAAACAGCATGAGTCTAGGAAATGGGAAAAAGGAAGCACTTCTCCCTGGGTACTATAACTGGTAATGACTAATCACACCAAGGGTGGCTCACAGAAGAATATATTTATGCTTGAACAGTAAAACCCAAACTCTTGGGGGCACAAACAAGAAAAAGAGGAGTGAGACCATCTGCCTGACACAAGGGCAACAGCAGATTTGTCGGGGCAATGCAGCTGTGACCTGCCAAATGTCAGATGGCTCTTCTCGCACTGCTGGCAGCTGACAGCTCTTCTTGGGTGCCCCACAGGGTCCAGGGACAGGAAAAAAGATGAAGCATAACAGGGAAGAAAACCAACAAGCCATTAGCCATGAATACATGTTAACACTTGTTCTTGAAACTGGAGTTTCAAATGGAAAAATCAGAGACGATCCCTTTCCTTTAAGCTTTGCTTATTGCCACATAACACTCTGGCATGCTGCAGTTTCAGTCAGACAGAAAAAAAGTAGCTGATACTATGGGAGGAGCTCTGTGCTACTTAGTAGGAGAGGACACATGCTCTTTAATATACCTTGGCTAGTTAACACCTTCCTGATATACAAGTTAAGGGTTAGTCAGTTCTTGGTCACACATGCTGTGGTGGAGCATGGCTGGGCAAGGGCCTCTGGTGTGGTTTAGGGCAGCTCTAACCTATCACAGAATGCTGCACTGGTGTTCTCACCCCACTTTGGTCCATGTCCTGAGCATGCAAAATGACAAGGGCACTGGAACATTCTTTTTCCAGCTGCATCTTGCTATGAAGGAGCCAGAGCTAGGGGAAACTCTGTACCATCTTTATTAATCTTTCATATCTTAATATCCATTACACTGAATTTCATTTAGTGATGATCCATGTACACAAGTATGTTAAACACTATGGTTTCAGTTTAAGCTGAGTAATGCTGGCAAAGGGCAAAAGGCAGCTTAAAAGGCTATTGTGATTGTTAGCGCAGACATGGCTTGTACAGACTGCTCAGCAGTCTCTGCCTCTTTTTGATAAATTTATATAGTTGTGTGTGCATGTACATATATATATTTTAATATGTATCTATAATTTTATTGATAAGTTCAGAACTGGGCCACTTTGACTATTCTGTTCCATTCCTGTTTCTGTACTATGCCTATCCCCATAGTATTCAAATGATTTCCAATAATATGTTCATGACTATGTTGTTCTCTGTTCCGCTTTAGAGGGATAGAAGAGCATGCAGTGCAGGTATTCTTTTATTTTGCTTTTGATGGAATTTTAGTTATATGCATGTACATTGTTACATTCTGACATAAGTTAGAGGATTTACAATCCATGGCGTGTTCTCTGTATTTGCACTGACCCTCCATCAATCTTCACTGAATTACTATGGCCTGAAGGTTTATGTCCCAGACATAAAGCAAATTTTTGCTTATGCAGAGAATCTAGAGTCTTGTAAGCAGAAGTTTATACATGTTCTGGAACTAACATATTTTCATTTCAGATATAACTATAGTACGTAATTATTTTATTTCTATTTTTCTCCTTTTCATTCCTTATCATTGTATTTTCTTCTTATTTGGCAATGCAGCTGATGGGTTTTATTTGATACAACATGATATTGCACAGGGGCTTAGCAGGAAAGCTAGATTTCTCTATACAAAAGCAAAATTAACTCTCACTACTGTGGTTGTATGTTGTAACTGAAACTACTCTGAAAGGGAGCAAAGGACATTCTTTGACCTACTGCTGTTTTATAAAGTAACTGTAAAGATGTTCTGAGCTGTCTCTTTATTTACCTTTAATATCTTCTGGACTTGCTTGTATCTCTGCCAGTGTGCTCCCGGTCTCATTGTGTCTTGCTTGGCTAGCTTCATTCCTGCTTTTCTCACATATAAGAAGATATTTTTTGTTACCTGAATGACATGCCTACATAAGCTATACATTTGTAAGCTGAGCAGTAGCAAGGTAGTCTCAGCCACAAAAACCTGAGTTCTTCATCAGGAGAAATACACAGCCTCTACACAAGCCAGGGGTAAAGACACTGAGCTGGGAGTCACGAGTGCTCACTCTGTAAGGACGTAGCATACAGGGCACCATGCAAGGACACACTGAAGTCCTCCATCCTGCAATTTCATACTTCACTCTTAAAAACAATCCCAAGAGCTTAACTGCAGGGCTCTGAGTTACAGTGTTTCCCAGGCTGAGGGACAGTTGCCAGTCATTTGGAAATGAGTGTTTATTCTCGAGAGTCCTCCTGCATTTGCTGCTTAGCAGATGCTGCTGTCCGTCTCCTAAGTTGAACACTGGCAACTCCTAGCATTTTTTCCCCTTCCCCTGCTGCTGGACTGCAGGACATACAGTGCTGTCCTCACCTTTCCCACAGCTGCCTCTGTGTTTCACTCGCAGGAGAAGGATTGTTAATTGGTCATTGCCAAGGCCCAGCTGTCAGTGAGCCACAGCCTGGGACTTCCTGCTGATCTAATACCCATCCAGAAACTTTCCGGTTGTCACTTCTATGCTGCTCTATTACCATGTGGCTTTTCAGAGCTCGTTGAGGCATTGAGTCCTTGCAAGGGGGATGTTAGGCAGTTTTTGTTGCTCTCCGTATGCCCAACAGACTGCTTGCCTGTGGGAACAGAGCCCTTACTACCCTTCTTCTGAAGCACGAGCCCTCACTGCCCTTCTTCTGAAGCACATGCTGTTATCATAAACTTATGCCTTGATGCTCTTTTGCATTCAGAAGTTTGATTATGGTGTATCTGCATCTTTAGAGCACGCTTGCGCACCGCGAAGTCCAAACAAACCAGCACCAGGCTTATGCAGTGCAATCACTGTCTCATCCACAAAATTGCAAGCAAAAGTGTTTGAAATGACAGGAAATCTGTTCTATTTTAGAGCAAAGCTTCCTGAGCTTGTAAAAAACCCTGTTGTGTAAAGGCAGGACCTGGTTAGCCATTTAACAGCCATTGGATCCTCAGCCTAGACTTCAAATATTCAATTGGCTAATGCTGCACTCTCTCTCTGAAGGAAAAGTTTTGCTAAGTTTGAAGACTTCAAAAAGATGGCAAGGTTCTCCCTTTTGTACTTGAAGGACTTCGCTAATCTTTGAGCATTTTAAAAACTTAAACCTTAGAGTTTCAACAGAAAAGACCATCAGTCGTATTTTACCTAGTTTATAGCTATGTATATGCAACTGGTTTATAACTACGTATATGTAACTGGTCCATGTCCAGTAATTTTTGAGTGTGTTCGTATTTTTCAGTCACTGTAAGACAGACACTGGTGTTGAACTCCCAAGTCTGAATTATGGCAGATGCCTCCAGGATGTGATTTTACAGACAAAAATGATGCACGTTAACAGTTCTTTCTTCAGTTACATGCATACTGTTGCTCTTCCTTCTCCATGATTCTGTCGCTTTTAAACCAGACATACTGCTTTACTGAGTCACATACTGGCAATTCATTCAGCACAGACATCCTGATTGTTTTATATTGAGCCTAATAAACAAAAACTAAGCAAGAACAACTGAAACCCCAGAGCACAAGACTGAGCTGCCTCCAAGGCCGTGCTGTCACAAAGAGGTCTCCAGCTGCACAGCATCAGTTCATAGTTATGATATACTATTGTATAATCTGGCAAAGAATAACCTTAAGAATCAGCTGGGACTACCTTTCAGTTCAACAAACTGTGCCTTAGACAAAAATAATTATGCTCAAGCACTCATAGATATGCACACAATGACTGTGCAGCCACCTTTACTTCTGCAGATTAGAAGCAGCTATCCTAAACCAAGTTGGAAACATTACAGAAATCCAGCCTCTTTCATCAAACCTTCCCACTGACTGATCTCAGATGGCTTCACCACTATAGCAGGAGGAGGAGAGTTGTGGCTGAGAAATGTGTTCATCCTGCAGTCACCTCCCAGGAGGTAAGAAAGGGAATAAAAAGTGAGATAAGTGGATGTACCTATCATCTTTTCAAAGTGATTAGTCTGACTACTTGTTTCCAAGGGAAAGCCTGCAGAAGTGTCTTGCTGGCCTATTTATAGCTGCCACGCCCCCAACAGCTGTTTCAGCTGACTTCAAAATGTTGGATTCCCTCAAACCTGGGAAAAAGATGAAGGACGGGTGCACATACTTTAAATTTCAACTGCACTTAATTAGGAAACCTTTTTGTACAAGTTCAGAGTTGTAAGAAATTGGTAAAAACTCTCAAGTACAATACATTCATTAGCATGCATTCTCACCTAGTAAAGACAGTATGTTTGATTTTCCTTTTTATATTAATCTTGATTATATTTTACTTATCAAACCTACTGTCTGAATAACTTCATATTACCCTTTAATTTCATCAGGAAATGTACCTACTGCTGTTTTGCTAATGACTTTTTTTCAGTAGCTGATGTATTTTTTTAAGGCAAACTGTGCAAAGCCTAACAACATAAAAATGATTAAAGCAAAAGAGGAATGTTGACTTGTAGTAGGATGCTACGTAGATATCAGTATTAAAAAGTGTAACAAACACAAATAACATTCTTGTACATCAAGTTCTTTTTGCCATTTCTGTAATATATCAATAACATCACAAAATTCACATGCTGTCAAAGTGGTAACAAACAAATGTAAATGGTCATACATACTGATGCATGTTAGTTTTTCAATTTATGTTAGTTATGCTCAACAAAAGAGTCAAGATACCTGAAAAGCTTGACCCTAATTTTGCACAATGATTCATGCACATCACAACTTTTAACTTAAGACACAGGAGCTCTGGTGGATGTAAGATCTGTGCTGGTGGATCACTTTACAGGAGGGGTCCTTTGTTAGGAAAACCTGGATTAATTATGCTGACAAGTGGAAACTGGTTATTCATGAGGTTAAATGGTCTGGGAAGCAACTAGATTATTCTGCTTGCTCCCAGACCTTGTATAAGAGTGTTTCTCCAGAGCAAAATCATTGGGTTGTGGAATAGCTTCCTTTAAGCATTTATAACTTGTATTATAGCAGGTTGTTCCCTTAGGCCCTATAAAAACATCTTTTAGCTGCACAGTTTAGAAATTAATGAATAAATATAATGGTTCAAATTTGCATCTACACTAATCCTCTTTTAGTCTGTTGTTTTGTTTAGCTATACTAGAGAATGAAATGGCAGAAATCTGAATAATTTTGGTTGTCATTAAAATACTGTATATAAATAGGAAAGGTCAGGATAAGGCATTCTCAACACAAGCTTGAGGAATGTACATTTTCATGCCTAGTGGAGCTAACATTTCAATTTCTTCTCAGAAGTAGTGGAATGTTTTTTGCATATAGATCCCCAAATGCTTTTTTAATTTTAAAGATGAAAAGCATTATTTCATACATCAGTTTTAAAAGCATTGGCATGGTATTTCCTTCCATTTTGTCTGCTGCAGGATTATGAATCTGGAAGGAAGCAGTTGAAAGAAACTCACGACATACAGAAGACAAATTAAGTAGTATTTCATTTCAAATGCTATCTAGAAACACTGGATACATGTGTATGAACTATATGCATTATGATAGGTAGTTATTCATCCCCATGATTTTTCCTGCCGGTATTACTGCAAATAACACTGTTTCCGTGACATGCCTTATGGAACTGTTTACTATTTTCATAATCAGTCACATGCATTGAAGGTAGGATCACCAGCCAGTGTATTTGGCATCCTTAAGCAGAACCAGAGAGGCCAAGCTTACGAATCTCTCTTGCTGAATGACAAGTAAGCTGGTGTATATAATGACAGATTTCAGCTGAAAAAAGGAAGCATGTTGACCTAAGACATTTCTTCTGGAGCTGCTTCTGCTTCCTGAATAGGTTTCTCTTCAGGTTTGCTGTCATGGACAGGAGACGGGTTACGGCTGGGCTTGTTGCTGTCATGTGTGCTGTGACTGCTGGCACTGCCAAGGCGAGTTGATGCCACCACAGCTTTTACTGCAGCCTGAGAAAGAGAGGATCAAGTAAACATTCCTTAAAGGACATAGTCTGTCAGCACTGCAATATTTGCATCATCCTGTTAGGGAACATAACTGTGTTTAGTCTTCATGGCAATGTCACATTTGGATACCTCCCTAGGCGTGGACAGATTTAGAAAGCCATCTGAAGTACTGGGTTGAGGTATAAGGCCAGGTTGGACAGAGCCTTGGGTGACATGGTTTAGTGGGAGGTGTGGTGAATGGGGGTTGGAACTAGGTGATCTTAAAGTCCTTTCCAACCGTAGCTATTCTATTATTCTATTCTATGATTCTATAAAATTGCGCATTCACATGATTACAAGTTGGCCAACATCAACAGAATTTTTTTTCAGCTTCACATACTGCATTTGTTTTTAAACACTACTTCGGATTTCTCTTGTTGAAGTTACATGGCAAAAAGAAAGCTACCTTCTGTCACAGTAATAACACTATTATCATTAATTATTCCACAGTTCATAAAGGAAAATAATATATCACTGTTGACTATTGTCTATGCCAAGCACAATGGTGTAGAGCATACAGGCAATTCCATATGCATGTGTATATATGCACACACACTAGGGACAAGCTCTCCCTTATAAAATGTCACAAAATTAAGACATACATTAAGCCCTTGCCTTGAAGAGTTTATTGCCTCAAAAATAACCAAGCATACAGAGGTGGGGAGCAGAAATACTGATCTCTCTTTATGACAACTCTGGGCAGCAAACCAAAAATCTCATTGGGCATCAAAGGTGTAAAAATATAGAGAATCAAAATAAAAAAATGCAAAAAGGGCATGCATTTGTTTGTGACTTCCTGGGTGGTGAAGGTAACAGCTTACACAGAATTAATTAAATTTATGATTCTGCTCATGCTCTGAAATAATTTTGACATAACAATGTTGCATGGCATCTTCAGTGAATAGAGAGCAGACATACTGTAAGACTACAGAAATCTTCTTGAATAGAACGGGTTCTACATGGGCAAAGCGTCTCTGTGAATTATATCTACAGTTTCTGAGATCTTGGTAAATGACAAAGCTTTATTCCTTACTCTGTACAGATTCCCTGTCACCATTCCCTAGTAATACTGAAAAATGAACAAAACCAAAGTTAAAGGTCATTGTTTCTGGTTTTTGTTGTTTTTGTTGTTGTTGTTGTTGGTTTGTTTTTTTTTTTTTTTCATAGGTATTACAAAACTCTCAGATGAGATACTTTTTAGTGTTATTCCCCATGGCCACAATGACAGCTTCAGTGTAATAATTCCTGTGCTGAAGTATCCCTGGAAGTCTCTCCCACGCAGACACAACTGAAGAAGAGATTAGGGGAGGAGAAAGTTTCCCAATGTCGTGTCAGTTAGATGTCCAGCTGCCTGCTATTTTCACCTAAAAATGTTTTCCTCCTTCTTCCTGTAGTAGATATGTAGACCAGATGGTAAAGGAGCATAATGGTGACTCAGAGCCTAATGTTATTTCAGCACAGTTCCCACCTGCGCTCCTGCCTTGCAGCACCTCATTTCCAGATGGAAGAATGCTATTGCACATTTGCTGTCAGAGGTACCTGCAAATGCATGTTTGGGGCCTGTTAATACCAATCCACACATTTTATGGACCTGCATGCCTGAAATGCTAATTCTAGATCAGACAAAAGGATGGCTTAAGCTCCTGCTTTGTGTTGATTGGTATAGAAACTGTGGGTGGCTTACAGATCAAAATAAGCTGTAGTAGACTAAATATCTTCAAGATTTATGGATGCTCATGAAGAAACCACTCAGAATTGTGTTCTTTCTGGTCAGTACTTTAAAGATGTGTAAGCAGTATAGGACAGACAGATGAACAGAAGGAAGGAAGGAGGAAGGGAAGAAAGAAAGGAAAAAAGGTAGGAAAGTGCAAAAGCTGCAGTTCTGTCTGTATAGATGAGTTTTCAATCAACTTCACACATTTTTATTTGGCTGAAGACACCGACTATATCAGCTTCAACTTCTTAATCTTCATCAGTCAAATAAAAAATGTCCATAACTCTATAGAATGTTGTCTTGAAAAGTGTGCAAGGTTTCTGGAAGGCTACTGATCTATAACTGCATGCTTTTATGGCCAAAGCAGAAACCGTATCCAGAGACTTGCCTTAAGTTTACGCCGGGCATTGAATTCTTGAAGTTTCTTTTGTGCATTGTCCATATGTGCAAAGTTTGCTGCCTTCCCTGTGACCCATGGGTGCTGCAAAGCCTGTAGAGTTGTAAGACGTTTCTTGGGGTCTAAAACAATCAACTTTTTAACCTGCATCACAAGGAAGATATACAGAAGACTGTTAAACTTCATTTACTTTTGCCAGACTTTACAGTTTGGGGCTTTGGTTTTGGAAAGCATCTTAGAATGTGTTTCTAAGAGGCCAACAATTATTTGTATGCAGGTCTTTTCATGTATTTTGTTTCTGGCATTCTTGGTCCTCCATAAATAACATCTAAGACAGCCATTAAGGCGGAATAGAAAAAGAATCAACTGGCTACCAACATCTATAAAAGTACGTACCAATGTGGACTGTATCTGCCACAGGCATGTTTGTCTGAATTGTCACATAAACCCTAAAAGATTCTCAAAATACTCCCAGACAAGCCGTTCTCTTAGCAGCATCTCCACTTTTACATCTGGACAAGGTTTAAAGTGGATTTGAAAATTTAAATTCTAGTGAATGCAGCTCATGCAGACTTGTACCATGCAGTACTGCTAGGTACGTAACAAATGAAATGATTCTTTCAGTCACTGTAAAACATTATGTAACAAAAAGTACTGTACAATTATTACTCTCTTAGCTGACTCTGAAACTAATGCTGTTTATGCCATTCTTTCTGTTACCAAGACCAGGGAAGCTGCACCTCTCCAAGCACAACAGTAGGACCAATAGGAATGTTTTTGAGAACAGCATGCTCCACATGTACCTCTGGGAGTGGAATTGTACAAACTGATGGGTACAAGTGTGTCCAGCCAAGCTGGATTTTGTGGGTTTTGCTGCAAGTGGTGTTTTAAAAAACAGAAAGGTGAGAATGGAGTAAAGAAGTACATGGCGGTACTCAGCAGAGCCACATTTATGCAACTCTCCATACTCCACATCCTGTTGAAGCAGAGCGTGAGTGATGCCACAGGGCTGCACCACTGCATTGTGCCCACGTGTGAAGGGAGGACTCACTTGAGGACTCTCTGAAATTTCCCCACAAAGAGATATTAAAGAAACATGGTGCCCTGAAGTAGGTGCTGGAGAATGGGCATCATGATGAATACCTGCTGTGCATCCACAGAAGAGGTCAAGTTAAGGAGATCACTTCAGCCGAACACTCTATAACTGCCCAGAGCATGGGTTTCGAGAACCGTGGACATCATCCTTATCTACAAGTTGCTGTAGTGTTCAAACCTGGAACTCTGAACTTTAGCAAAATGGTAGGCACCAGTTTGGACCAAAGCTCTCTATATACAATGAATGAGCAGCTTTGCTGCAAGCTGCTGTTCATCTGGGTTTTGATGACACAACAGTAAATAATATTTTTTTGACCTAAGAAAAACTTTACATCTAATACAACAACTAAAAGATATTTTGAACTTCTACAGTTTTTCCATTTGAGGCATTCTGAAGTACTTTAAAAACTTTTGTAGCACAGTTTGTATAAGCAATATGGAACTGAGCATTTGTTTCTTCAGTGCTAATGAAGTAATTGAATTGTGAAAGTTAAATTTGACTAAAAATCAAAGCCAAGAATACCTGTCTACAGATCAATGCCTCCTGGATCCAATTTACATTATCCAGTAATAAAAGCATAAGGTGCAGGTAGCATTCCAGCCCTTGCATTTTGCTAATGGACCATATTTAGAAGTAATCAGTTTTTCCTCATCTACTGAGAAAAAGCTTAAAAGGACAGAAAAATGCTGTGAGAAAAAGTAGGGTGAGGGGGGCTTCATTCCTTTTGTATTCTTCCTCCAATTTTCAGACCTGAGAACTACACAAAATACAGGACTTCTATCTTTGCTCCCGTGAAGGTGGTTGCCTTGCAAAGAGGACTGACAAAGCACCTCAGAGCTAGCCTGAAAGGGTAGCATACACGAACACTGTGCCAGCTGCCTACAATCTGTGGATTAGATCACATAAATACCATAACATCCATGGGTCTGAGAGCAAAATTTCAGCACTGGACTAACAGGGGATGTATCACAGCATGATCATGTACCAGAAATTAAGAAGAAAAGCAAGGAGCCATCGGTACAATTATTTAACAAATCACTCTGCCTCCACTAAAAAATGGACTCTTTTTCTCAGTGGAAGTAATACTAGCCAAATACATATCAGCAAAGATACTCCACAGTCTCATTTTTACTTTACTTACTAAATCCTTGGCATTCAGAGACACATCATCCCACCAGGGGGACACAAAGTCATATTCACAGTTCAGGATTCTCTTAAACATGTACTGATCGCCCCTTTCATCATAAAATGGTTCAAATCCACAAAGCCTGCAAGGGTGAAAAAGAAAGAAATATTTCAAACATTACTTTGTCTTGGGTTGTAAGAAACAGTTTCTAGTATTATCTTTCCCTACTTCACGTCCTGTAGACCACTTCGGGAAACCAGACATGGAACTAATTCTACAGAGCATAGTAAAACATGGTCATAAGCATTCATAAGCACTCAGAAAGGCTGATCAAATTGTAAATTTTCCATTTTCACATGTCTGTAATTGGAACTTTTAATACAGGGAGTTATCATAAGAGTAGCCATGCAACAATTGCTATCTATTTACCTTCTAGATTTTATAGCAGCTCTTTGCTCTGCTGGTCTCAGGCTGAAGTACCTTAGACTATTTTATCATTTGTCAGTTTGAAACCTTTGCTCATCCCTGCCACCTTCTGTGAGCCTTCTCTAGTGTATGACTTTTTGAAGTGAGTGCAAACACCATTCATCATGGGCACACCACAGAGTTGCAAACTAGTGTAATGATGTTTTCCATTTTAATCTTCTTTCTAAAAACACTGTTGATTGTTTGTAAGCACAGATACGTCATAGAGCAATTATCAGAAACCCTGTAGCTCTTCCCTGAAGGATAAGAATTAGCGGAGAAACTATAATTTACCTGTGGATTTAGAAGTTTTTAGATTTCCTGGACTGGTTTTTGATTACGTTCATTGCTGTATATTCAGTCATCCTATCATCCACAAAATGTAAAAACCTTCAGCAGGTTTTAATAATCAGCCTTCATCTTTACATTGGTAACCTATATACTACCAAGAAATTTTGTAATCTCACTATTGCTGTATTTATGAATATATTGAATAATACAGACCCCCACCAAAAAATCCACACTGCTGGCCCTGGGGAAAGTGAGCTTACAGAAGCAATTTCCATTTATATAATGTCATTTATTTTTTTTTAATCTCTTCACTGCACTTTAATCATGCCTGCATACATAATCAGATGTTTAAAAATTAATATCCTATTCAATTAATAAGTACTCTGAGCTGAACAGGAAGTCTATCTGCTACTCTACCTCCAGAAAACGCAACTAACAATGATACTGTGGCAGGAAAGTAACAGCAGACCATAAAGAATCTAAAAAATGTAACCTTCCATTTTAAGTTGCTTTTATATTTTGAAACCCAATCCATGTGATTTCTGTCTTGAAAAAGGAGACATATGTAAAAGGAAAAATGGTGGTTTGGGGAGTGGTGTGTAGCCACAAACAGCTGCATCACTCTGCACTGCTGAAGAGGAGAAAACTTCCACCATAAGCACATTCTGAGCACATTGTTAATTTCCAAGTCTGGCAGAGATAGATTAAAACAGAATGATCCAATCTCCAAACACTGTGTGCTTAAGTGGGTGGGAGCTGGTCACAGTCCCTCTGCTGCTCCCCATCCTGTTTCCTGGCCTCTCTCACCACCACTTCTGAGCTTAGTTCAGGTCAGCTCCTGTTCCCATGGAGCACCTTTGCTGAGTTGGTTGAGCACACTGTTGAGCCACTAACTGGTTAAGCTGAAGCTATCTTCTAGATATCAGATAACTGATGACCTACAGTAAAATCATGTTTAAGGCCTCTTGAGACTGTGTTGGAAGCCTTCTAAGTGATTTTCTATTTTCATTGTAACTCACTACTATCACCTACTCTTGTCTTATTAACATTTTTGTTTCAGCAGACAGATTTTTCGCTACATGCCAAATTAGCTGAATAAAACTAAAGGTGCCATTTCAAATTAGAAAAATTAAGCCAGGGCAAGACACAGTGTGGCTCCTTTTCATTTCACTTTATTATGAAATTTCATTGTATTATGCTGATTAATTTTTAACCATTAAATGAAGAAAAATCAATGCAAAAAGCTTCAAAAACAATTAGAAATGACTAGACAGTGTTTTGTGTCCTTTTAAGTAAGTTAATAGAAAATCACCTTGAATTAGCGTGATAGAACTATCACACTAACGGCCTCAAGCTGTGTCTAGTTGATTCTATGATTCTATGAACGAGATCTACAATTAAGAAAAAACAGTTAACAGATCATTATATGCAGTTAGATAAAGGTTGTAAATAGGTAGGGATAACTGCACATATTTATGCTAGATTTGAGAGTGGTCAAAGATTGGAGGAGGTTGACCAAAGGCACTGCAGACTCACCATCCTTGGAGGGGTTCAAGACCTCACTGAATATGGACCTGAGCAACAGGTTACACTTGTTTAGAGTGGGGAGTTGGACTAGACGACCTTTAGAGATCCCTTCCAACTTTGACAGTGAATAGCAGTGAATAGCAGTGAAATCCATGTGATTTTGACTATAGGCACAGCCTCTTTGTTGACAATTATCTGCATCTCAGATGTGTAGTAGCTACAAGAATTTCTAACCTGCTGCTGGAATACAAAAGGACTGGTCCTCTTTGTTGTTGAAAGTATAAATGTAGCTTCTCAGCTATCATCAATAGGTCTTCACAGAATCAACTCATTTGGAAAGACCTTTAAGATTATCAAGTCCAGTCATTACCCAGTACTGGCAAGTCTACCACCAAACCATGCCACTGGCTACTTTTGGAGAACTTCCAGGGACAGAGACTCCACCACTGGCCCAGCAGCCTGTTCCAGTGGCTGACTACACCTGCAGTGAAGAAATTCTTCCTAATGTCCAGTCCAAACCTCCCCTGGCATAGCTTCCTCTTGTCCTATTACTTGTTACTTGGTAGAAGAGATCAGCCACCTCCTCTGTCCATCCTCCTTTCAGATAGTTGTAGAGAGTGATAGGGTCTCCCCTGAGCCTCTTTTAATCCAGGCTAAACAACCCCAGTTCCCTCAGCCACTCTTCATCAGGCTTGTGCTCCAATATAGTTTGCCTCAGGAATAATTTTCTGTCAAAATATGTGTCTTAGCTTTTCTTAATCACATAGTAAATTCACTTTGTATTGGTGAGAAGATAGACCTGTATGCATGTCTTCTGTAGCATGGTAAGTAACTCTTACATACGCTCAATTTTGGAGGCACATACGGCAATGTATTTCTGTACCAGTACATAAGTGCATTCCCTCTACTAAACTATAAGACTGAGACATACAACACTTTCCTTTAGGCTGAAGGATTAATGAATTAGTTACGGTACATATACCTTTCTGGTCTCAGCTTCTTATCTATCAGAAATGTTGATCTACAGAGCTTGAAATAGAACAGTTTTAAATGTGGAATATTGTTAAAGCTAAGTGAAAGAGATGGCTAAGTGGATTTGACTAGCACCCTTTTGATCTGGCTCGTTTGTGTAGATCAAATTTGATTTTGAGGACAGAGGAGAAGAAAAAGAGAAGGAGGAAGAAGTAGAAGAGTATCTGTAATGGTGGTGTCCCACCCAGTAGCTCACACACTTGTGTTTACAACAGTGCAGAGGTTCAACAGCTTGGGGGCATCTCCTGAACAGCTGGAAGGGTTTGAAAGGCTGGATATAGCAAATGACACCTTTTATATTCAAACAGGAATTTGCTGTGCATTCCTGCTTGGAGCTTGTCTACACTTGAAAACAAGTTCTGCTTAAGGAATGCTTTCAGTTTCAAGTACAACAGTGATCCTTTAACCACTGAATAACTAGGCAAGTCCATAGCTTAATCTAGGTATCTTTGTAAAGGGACATCAAAAGGCATCTCTTCAATCTCAGGGACAACCCTGCTGTCAAATTTCATACCTTTCTGCTATGCATGGACCAGAGAACTGATGAGAAATTATCACCTGCCAATATCTGAGATGTGACCTACTAAACACTTGAGCCAGGCTTTGAGAAAAAGATTCACATTTTAAAAGTAGCAGATAACAAAGTGATAGAAATAATGTAGCCTATTATTTATAGGCACCCAAATGTCCTGATTTACAGGACAAAATGTGTTTTCTGATATTAAACTATAGTATCTTCAGTGTTGATATATCCTTACAAGTACTTTTAGTATAAACCCTAGAAAATACAATTCTTTCTTTACAAAACATAAAGAAAATAACTGTATTATTTCACACTGTACTTGCTGGACATAGTTAATGAGTCCTAGAAGTGGAAAGAAAATGGCTGGAATGCGTAAAATGCTCTGCATCTTTAAGGTGCATGTGTAAAATCCCATTTTCTTCCCATAAAAGGCATCATGCAAGTATTGCATACAACCACACAATCCAGCTTAGCACTGGTGCTTCCAAGGGAATCAATTAAGCTATTAATTCCTATTAAGAGAAGGGTCAATGCATCAGATACATTTTTTTGTTCTCAGTACTCTGACAGACTCATTCGATACAATAAAATAATCGTAATGCAAGTGGCTACCTTTAGACACAACTGCTTGAAAATTGTCTGTGATTGCAACTTCAACTGTTTAAAATACGTATGGCCAGCATCACTAACAGCCCTTTGTCAATAGTGTCTCTGGTTACCTTGTCAGAAGTGGAACACTTCAGCATTAGTCATTTAACCCATTGGACTGATTTGCAGACAGAGCCCAGGATTGCTTCCTGCTTCCTGGCTGAGATGCTGTGGACAACAATGCTGGTGCTGCAGCCAAAGCTGTAGCAGTGTCCGTGGCTGATACAAATGGGGCAGCTGCATTTGGGGATATTCACAGGCAATGTGAAAATACTGCAAGCACCTTAACTTCTCCTTGTTCCATGTGTAGCTGAGAACCTACTTAGGATCGTAATATATCTCACAGTTAATGAGAAAAAATCACATACGACGCTTGCTGACACTGATATGCTATTCACATTAACAACACAATTCTGCACAGATCTTGCTGTTGTTCAGGAAGTGTTGTATTTATCAAATATATAACCTTAGTGTTTTGCCATGCTTCTCTAGGATTTTACTTAAGTAAGATTAGGAATATCACCATTAAAGTTCAGGATCTTATGTTTTCAGCTCACAGCACAGCACCTGCTTACAACTGAAACACTCTGTAGCACTGTCTGCACTTACAGGATGTAGGTGATAATTCCCAGAGACCACATGTCCACTTCAGGGCCGTAGGCACATCCCCGTAGTATCTCTGGTGCTGCCGATGACAAAACATATCTCAGTAAAATGAAAGTTGAATGCAGAAATAGCAACCACAAGGTCAATTTAAACTCCATGCACACTCATAAGTGTTTTTTTTAAAGTTAGGGCCCTCTCCTTTAAACATTTAATTAGGCAAATAACTTCTTTCACTGAGTATAAAACAACAGAAATCATGCCCAAGCACAGCCAGATTAAAATGAAAAGTGGATTTTGGTTTCAAATTGCTTTTTATTTTTGGTATTCTGTTTTGATTGTAAGGCAAGACATGATCATCTCAGGCAATTGCTTCTGCTGCGGTGTGGAGCAGGCAGGAAGGCCAGGCTGTCCTGGGGGACTCTGGCTCTGCAAGGGTAAAGATGAGTTAACCTCTGACAGGGCAGCTTGACAAACACTCAAGGAAAGCTGAGCAGATCAGTGCATCCTCAGCATTAGACAGTATTTGTTGCTGTTGTGTGTGACTAAAAATGGGCATGGTTGCACACTCAGACTGTGATGTGCCTGCCTTGACTGCCCCTGGCCCTCTCACCGCCAGGGCTAGTAGCTCTATGCACCCTCAAGTTTTGCCTCTGACTGGGCAAACCTCCCTGGGGAAAGCTTCTGAGGTGGCAGGATGGAAATGTCATATCTCCAGAGGACAAAATGGAAGAGATTCATACTGGGAGTGGGCAAGAACCTTCCCTGTCTCACTTTTTGGCCACAGACAAAAATACCCAACTAATTTGGAAAAAATAATTACAAAGACAACTTTGAGACACAATTCCCCATGTCAGTAGCCCTTCTTCTCAGCTACCACTGTATCTGCATCAATATCCATCAACGTACAGGATGACAGCACAGCCCTTGAGTCCACCACCTCATCAAACGTTTTTACGAAGCATTAATACTGAAGGCAAAGAACATTATTCCTTGTTGCTACATGGCACAAAACCTGGACAAAAACTTATCAGTCTAACCACAGACTTTTCCCTGCCTTCCTACTCTTCTCATAGGTAAACTGATGAACAGAGAGGGGCTGGTTTTGAGAAATGACACTAGGTCCCAACTGATTTTATCTCCTGCCAGCCTGTAGCGAGCAGGACAGCTTAGAGGCAAAGCAGCCAATGACCTCAGGGAAAGAGATGGAAACAGATTAAGAAAAGAGATGTTAACCACTATTCTTCCTGTCATATTTGTTGATGCCTTGTGAGAGGTTCTAAAGTTAATAAGAGTTTTTCCGTAATGGCCAATATGCTTCCTCTCTAGAGAGCACCATGCTCCTTGGGATTTCTTCTTGCTCAGAATTGGATTTTCTTCTCTGTGGTATTGCAAAATGGTCATAAAAGAGACAAAAGATTTGTCCATTTAGGTCTGCCTTGCCATCTGGACTGTGATTACACAGCTATACATTTTGTAAATATGATTTTTCAGTATTTCCAGAAGGTTGCTTTTGGTGAATGGATTTGACTGATACATTGTTATTAGTTTAGATGTTGGCTGTAACTTATGAATCAGTGCTCTGCACTGGCTTATCTTTATGCTTATTTTCTGCTACTGTCAGTAATCACTTATGCCCTTGTTAAGTTCACTGAAAGCACAGTGTCTCAGCAAGTAAAGTTCTTTGTGACCATCTTCCTGCTTTGAGTGCTCTGCACCATATTGCATGTCCCAGGTAGATTGGTAGGCCTTGATGCAAAGGACCCAGACTCCTGTAGGTGTTTTTGTTGCTGTGTCCTTTCTAGAAAAGCTGCTGATAGCTGGGTGGGCAGGATGTGGGAGTTGGCAGTCTGTGACTATTAATTATTCATAGCTCAGTTTGGCATTTTAACAATTTTATTCCTGGATTTCCTTCACTTCTGGAAAGTAATCCTTGTATATTTTCCAGGCAGCAGGAATTCTGCATGGTCAGTTTTAACTTGGGTCATGAAACAAGGATTGCAGGTGCATATCTGCAGACACAAAGCTCCTGTCTTCTCAGCACAGGCATTCAATCTCAAACCTCCCCAGCAAGTCATAGCTACCCTGAGGGCTCTTCTGTGGGAATAAACCTTATCCTATTTTTATAGTATGAAAAGACAGTAATAAAAAGGGCTAAATACTATTTACAGTTTTATGGCATTTGTAATATAACTGTCAACCAGAACATTAATGACTAATATGTGAAGTACAGTTTTATGAAACCGACTGGAATTCAGTGCTACTTCTAAAGCATACTTGGTGCGTGTATGTGCTTGGCAGACAATGTCATATGAGGTAATGGACATGTCACCTTAATTGTCTTATCATCTGTAATATGAAACAGCAGAGTAATCTTACGGTCTTCTCCAATGCTTTGTTTTTACAGTTATAAAATCAAATGCCAAGTGTCCAGTTTCCACATGGCTTAGCTAAACTCTATACAAAACTTCCAGATATGCCTATCCCCCAGCACACTGCTAGCAACTTGCAGCCTCTTGCAGAAGCCCATTTAGGATCTGCAGTTCAGTGAGACTGACAGAAATAGGCTTCTCCACAAGATCACATTGGTTGTTCAAGATTAGCATTCTCAGTGGGTAACCCAGCAAGCTTGCCATGGTGTAATCAAGATCACTAGCCTCTCTGGCCATTAGCTGACTTGCTAACATGAAAGGATCTTGCAGTGAAGGTTGAGCAGACTGCAGAAGCAGCTGCAATCCTCTTTTAACAGAGTGGCTCCTTCTTTTGCATGTTCTGGCACTGGAGGATCCATTTCTGGCTCATTTTCTGGTTCCAGGAGTCCAGATAAGCTTCTGCATATGTGGGGAACTATCTGTTCTGGCTCTAACCATGATGTTGTGCATAAGGATGCTGTACCTGCAGCCAGGCAGCATGCTTAAGGTGCCCTGCTGAAAGCTACCACACATCCTGAGAGGCTCTGGCCAGCAGCTGCCTGCTCAGCTTGGTGTCCACCACACAGAACTAAGGCAAGACACACCAGGGGTCTGCCCTGGCACGCAGGCCAGAGGCTTGCCATAGGGATGCAGCAGCCCTTGTTGTCCCCTCTGACCTGGCACAATGCCACTGCTGAAGAAGGTATGCTGTGTAGAGGGGATTCAGGCTGAGCACAACCCTGCTGGCAGCAGGAGGAGCACTTGCCACAGCCTCAGAGCGAAATGCTCTCCCCGTCAGGAGGGAATGGCCACTGGGACCTGGCAGCACTTTTTTAAATTCCTTAAGATCAGTTGTATGCTTCCTTTCTCCCAGCTGTGGTGGGTTATGTGCTTGAGCTCTGGTTTTAGACTTCTTATATTTTAGGGTTGGTTTTAGTTAGTATCATCTGTGGAATAATGGTATCTGACATATAGCACAGCTATGGCATTGTTTGCCAGATATTACACTTACATCAGTTGTAGCATTCACTTTCTGACTGAGAAGCATGAACTGTGTGTAAACCAGAAGTATGTAAGACCATGAGATGAAACGCAATTTAAAGAAGTAGAAAGTACCCTCAAGGCCATATAAAACCAATGTCATCAAGTATATGATTTCCTAATTTCTAAATTACTAAAGGAATTAAAATTACCATCCTTGTGTAATACATTAATTTGTGACCCTACTTTAAGTAATAATTTGATTTCATCTATGTTAAAAAAATAACTTTCAAATAACTTAATTGTAAGCAATATTCAAATATTCAAATATTCATAATTGCTATGAGCTCTATACATTTTTCATGGTTTCCGCTATGCCTTTCATAGTTCAAATTCCTGCTGATGCCTCTCCAGTATTATTTTTAGTAATTTCAGCATCTTTACAATGGTTGAACTTACTTCCTTGCGAGTAATGAACTTGCACCATGACATATACTTTGATTATTAAGCTTCAGTGCTGCAGAGTATGAGTTAAGCGAAACTTAACCCGGTGAAAATTCTGAACGTTAGGGTTTTATTTCTGCTTTTTTAGGGCTTTTGGATATTTGACTCTAGGATGGAGCACTTCACCTTGGAAAGAGAAAATGTAACATCCTCACATTAAGTGCAGCATATTGTAAGTAATAAAACAACATACCACAATACCCTGGAGTTCCACAAACTGTCTTCATGGTCACCTGATCTTCCACAATCTTGGAAAGTCCAAAGTCGGCTGTTAAGATTATTCAGGAATATTAATGTTCTTACTTCCTTGTAAAATTACTTTTTTTTCTTTTTATATTGTATATGTAAGTAAACGAACATTTATGCATTGAATGAACAATACTGTCATTTCCAGAGATGAGGATCATTTTAAAGAATCGACCCAGACTATGATCTGAAAGCAAAATTTGTCCATGCAAATGAGTACTCCTGGCTCTTTCTTGACAGAAATGTAACTTGTGTTTTATCCCAAAGACTGCACAAATTGAGTAAATTGGTATGCCTAAAAGCATAAAAGCAGTGATTCAGAAATGTATTTTAGGTACATATTCACCTTCCCTTTGTGAGTAATCCAATAAAATTAACAGAACAATTTGGGGTTAAAAAATTACGCATTAGTACTTTCTTGGATAAGGATCAGAATATATAGCCCCTGCAAGACAAAATCACAGCAATACTTTGATAACAGGCTTCTATAAACAGAGCTTGTGCCAGGAGAAGTGATGATCATCCTTTTTTGCAGTGTTTCTACCCTGAATTACTGAATTATGATTTACATGTTGTACTTGTAATGATCCATTTTTTTAAAGACATGAAAACCGAAGTCTTTATATACTGTTAGTTTTCACTGAGAATAAACTGAACTTCTTCAAACTTTAATTCAGGTGATGATGATCAGATCAGATGTCAATTTAAACAACAAATAATATTAACCAGAAGATGAAGAATCACAGCATTTAGGAAAATGCTTAAGGAACCCCTACACCCCTCTGGCTGTCAAACCAAGGTCACTGGGTGGCTTAATCTAGCATGTTACAGCTGTTAGAGGTTTTCCAGGAAAGATAAAAACTAGGATAAAATGTAAATTAAGATACCATCATCCTGAGATGACAGAGTTTCCTGGAAATTTATACAAAACTGCTGAGACTATTTGGTGGAAATCTATCTCCTGAAACCCATGATGGACACCAGCCTAATGAACATGGCAACACTCACACCTTGCATGCTTCCATGCTCTCTGGTAAGAGAGCACAAGGTGGTCTTTCCAAACTGGCTACATATAGCTCAATAGGATTGCACAGAGCCTCTCTTTGCTAAAGTGAAAACTTGGCATACCTAGCATTTTTGGAGGTCGTGCCCTTTTCAACCAGTGACCATGCCCAACAGAACTGGCATAATATGTCCCCGTTAGGGAGAGCCTGATCTCACCTTGGCCCTCCTCATTGCCCCCATGGTGCTGACCATGCCTCAGATAGCTTGCCTATGCTCTTTGCAAAGATCACTTCTTATCCCTCAAATTCATCTTCAAAACAGAAGTCAACATTGCTCAGTTTGCTTTCTACCATTTATCTGCACATTTGTACTTGCATGCCAACAAATCTTTCCATTTTAAAATACTAGTTTAAAAATAAAAGAACAGGGCACAGAAGTTCAGAGAGATGTATGATGATCTCATGATCCTTTTTGCTCCTCCTGGGCTCTTCATTCTCTGACATGTTCTGAACAATTCTGTCCATAAATTCTCCAAGCAAGCACCTTGTTTTGTATTGGTTTTAAAAACAAAAAGCACTGCTGAAGAAGTAACATGCTATTCATTTGAGTATAAGCATTAGCTTTGAATAAAGTGGTAGTGAGACTGGAAACATCAGTTAGCATGCATTAGTGGTACAAAGGAATTAGGGAAGCATACATATAATGCTGCTCACCGATTTTTAGAGGTGCATCTGGTGCTGGTGTTGCATAGAGTAGATTTTCTGGCTTCAAGTCACGATGCACAATCCCATTTGCATGCAGGTACTAGAAAAAGAGCAAGTTAAAACATTTAAATGAGAACAAGATGTTATGGTCGAGCATGAGTTAACATCTTCCTAATAATCTATAGCAGCACGTTAATATAATTTGCACTGTGTGTGGCACAGAGTCACTAAGCTAATGTTCAGCTGCTTTTTTTCTTCAAACCTGTGCAGCACAGGACCTTTGGATGCATATTGTAATCTGAATAGCAAACTAAAATTTGGGAAGGCAAAATTAGCATCACATCCATTTGAGAAGAAAAACATCTTGGAAAGTGTTATTGACTTTTTAAATACAGTGGTAGCTTCTAGGAAATAATCTAACAGATGCTGAGATACACAGTCTGCCTCAGAGGAAGGTAGTTTCTGCGTGTTACAAAATTCTGAGATTATAAAATGGACATACAACTATTAAGCAGACACCTTTGAATGCTGCAAATCTATTTAGATGACTCTGCCAAAGTGAGAAGGTTCAGACATTTCGTGCCTGCTTGGTGGAAAGCAGACATTTCCTATTCATTTGTATGAAAAATCTTTGACCAGATTTGTGATGAGAATTTTTCCAGCTAAGCTGCAGGCTTTTAGGAAGTCCTTTTTTACATGTGCTCACAGTCTTAGAAACATTTTCTATTGTGAGGCTGTAAACATCAAAATTTTCTTCTCTTTCCAGAATTGCATTTTCGAGGAAGGGAAATTTGGGAAGAATTTTGAGAGAGGCTGTCCAACTTTTCCTCTCTTTTAAGGCATAAAGTGAGACTAGCTCACAGGGCTTTTTCTCAGACATAGCAAGAACCATAACCAGTGACATCTGCTAACCATGCTTGTACCTCATGACTGATCAACTTTTTGACATATTTCTATTAAACTTGCATCATAATTTTTTTTTTTATTACAAGTCATAGGACCCCACGTAGGAAAATTTCCCTTCTCTACCTAATCCACCATTTGAAGAAAACTTGCAGGATGAGGTGCCCAGCAAACATGAATTGCCTCAACAACCTAGCTCACATCTTTCCAAGACTGCTACTATGGCTGTCTGAGCTCTCTCTTGTGTCTACTCCTCACAACACCTACAGCTACTCCTACCTTCTCCACCACACCTCCCCTTGTCTCCCCAGCACCCTAGCCCAGAATTCCAGCCTACCCACAGCACCTCCTCTAACCGTTCCCTGTGGCCACAGAGATCCAACATGGTTGCTGCAATCCCTAATCTCAGTCCCTGCTGCTCTGTCCTCTCTCTACCACTATTTCTTTTCCCTGACTTCGTATTTGGGCACTGTGGTATGTGGTCCAGCCACACATGTGGCTGGGGCTGCTCAAGCTGGCAGGTCATGGGTTTAGCAGAGCTACTGTAAGCATCTCTTACCTTTGAAACCTAGCTTCCTGTCAAATTTTGTGGAGTTTGGCCAATAAAATCAATAGCTTTTTTGTGAACTAACATAAAAATGGGTAAAACGGACACCTTACTTCCCCCCCTCTCCCCCCCTTCCGGCAGTGTTTTCACTGATGCAGAAACCCCATTCTTCAACCATACAAAAGTGCCAGCTAAGATTTGCGGATCCGCAGCCTCCCAAGGGGAAAGACTGCTGGCTGGACTTCTGTAAAAGGTACCTGCCTCCAAACAAACTTCCTATAAAGTTCTCCAGTGCATGCAGTGACCTTCTGTCCTCCAGACTGAAACACCCATCATTCACTGAGTGTATCTCCTGCTGAATGGGACCTTCTAAGACTGTGTCCATTTTCAGCATTGCCCCCTTTCTTGGTAAATACACTGGGACTTGCTGGCAAATTTTCACCAATCCCAACAGCTCTGTTCCCCATGTAGTGCTATTAAAAACTAGTTGGTAATTACATTGTTTTGTTGATATGTGAACAGCATTCTGAATTAAACTATCTTGATTTAGAAACAGAACTAGTTGAACTGGCATAACTAATTTTGTATAACATTTATTTCAACTTATATATGCCCTATTTTGATGGCTTTTCACTGTATTTCTCACATACTGATTTTAAGAAACATTATGTTCTTTTGCAGGCAGTGCCTCTGTAGTGTAAGTTCAAAGACTCTCCCGGTCTGGAGTACAGCTATGGGCATTGTGTACTGTCACGGCAAAATAGATAGCCTGTGCTGTACTATTTGTATGCTGTGTTTCTTAGTGATTGAATGGTGTGGTTAAACTAGAAGATAAGGTCTCAGGTATAAAGCAAGAGCAGTGTGTGGACTCACTTTATGATCTAAGCATGGCTGAATTACATCACTTTCCCCACCTATTCGATATGGACAAGACTTGGAACACCATTTGAATCCTATGGATGGGTAAGGAGTTTATAGATACATAGCGCTTTACAAGAGTTTAATGTAGCATGCACATAATATGTGATCATGGCATGATACTCTCACAACTGCTAAAATGTCCTCTTTCCACTTTTTTTTTTAATTTCAGTAGATAGTGCCAATCTCTGAAAGAAAATAAAGGCATGACAGTCGTCTGATTGCAGCTTTGCTAATTTGTAACACAATAAGGTATTTCATTATGCAGAAAATCTGTATTTTCATAAAAATTCTCTATTTCCATGACAACACTACATGAATATATTTAGGTCTAGTTAAGTCCTGTAACATCTACATACTAAAATTCAAAATTTGCTTGTAGAATAACAGCATTTCATCTAGCCTGATGAGATGTGGATGGTAAAGAGGCATCTCACAGCAAGGCCTGTGGAAGAAGACCTTGTGGAAAAAGGCTTCTCTATGAACACCAGTTTCATCTGAGCAGCTGGACAGTGACACAGAGAAGAGAAATCATTCTTTCTCAAAATCTCCTCTGATTTTACTGTTTTTTGAACCACATCAAGGCAGGTGCTAAAAATAGAGACAGTACTGATTTTAAGGAACATATGGCTATTCTATTTAGCAAAAGAGAGTGAATAAGTAAAAATAAAATGAAAACCCTAAGAAGTTTGCATTAAATTGTTGAATTTACATGTGAAAATATATTTGTGCATCCTATGATTACACTTCTTTTTCAATTGCTTAGGCCAATGAGATATAACTAGGGCAGGCAGGTGAACTGACTGTGTTTCAGAGATATAGCGGGGTACTGCATTATTAATGTAGAGCATCTCAGATAACCTGGGAGAAATGTATTATAGGAAAATTGAATCTGACTGTCTTACTACTCTTTGGTAAATGCTGAAGACAGACTTAGAATGACATTAGGTGGGAATAATATACAGCCAATTTTCTGAAAGGCTTACCATTTAAAATAAAGGCAGCCTTCATTGCCTTCATCTTGGCCTTTATTCCTGTGGTATGCAACAGCAACTCGTAACTGAACAACTTCTGTGACTTTAATTGTGACTACAGCAGAAAGTATATTTTTTTGTTTTGGATTGGTTTTTTTATTTATTTTTATTTTGTGGGGTTTTGTTTTTTGATTTTTTTTTTCATTTAAGCTTCTTTCCACTTGCTGTGTGAGAGTTCCTTTTGCTCTTTGTTGTTGTTATAAAATAGAAGATGACAATTAAAATTATTTTGAAATGCAAGGATTGTTTCGAGAGGTGTTGCAGAAGTGTTTCTGAGAATTCTTGCTTAAAGAGTTTTTAAAAAAGACACTGTCTGTAATAGTGTCAGAACCCAGCTCCATGGGAATCACTAAGGTACCAGTAACAAAAGTGTGAAATCAACTCATATACACAGCATAATCTCCCCTCTGCCACCATTCCCTTACTGCAGTCACACTGGGTTGGGGATTGAATGAACAAAATAGTGTATTTACAGAAAGTAAAGTCAATGTTGATTTCTTTTATGGATGTATTTGAGCAAGTTTTGGATGCTGTATATAGATAACAACAAAATGGAGTCATAGAAAGGCAGCAAGTAATGAAAGCTTCTCCAAACGTCTTGCAGAAAGCCTATTCTTTGCACTTGTCTTGCTTTTATTGGTTGCTCTGGGAAACTGGAGTATGCTATTATGTCTGCTGCAAAATAGATTGGCTTCCAAATATATATTTTCATTTGTTCAGTAGAACAAACAATATTTGCCTTTGAACTTTGTATAAGTATGCAGTAACATAACTAATTTCATTTATGAATTCAGATAATAAATGTGTACTGTTAAAAAGTAAGAAGAAATGCATCTGCATAGACGCATAAATCCAAGTGTTTCTTTCTTTGCTGGTCTACTATATTCAAAGTTATGAGATAGCTCAAAAAGAAGTTCTAAATTAAGCAAATAGGTCATATAAAGTTTCAACTGCAATCTCCACAATAATTTTATTCTACATTTGGAAACAGTTCTATCTTTTGAATATTCCTGCTTTTAGAAGAGTGAAGCAGCCTTGAGGATGGCAATGCTACACCAGGTGTGATCACAGCAAACCATATAAAATCAGTCTCTTTCACGGACACCCCCTTGTCGTGGGGAAAGAGCTTGCGTGCCCTTGTGAAGTTGGGAGTTATGCTGGTGGTGGCTTATGCTTCCGGTAGGGTCTCCCATGCCAGTCAGCTCTCAAATGAAGGGTCAGACAAAGTGTGTCCATGGGCCGGATGGGCTCACTAGCCTTCAGGCAACCATCCTAGGAGAAGGACAACTCCAACTTCAAACCCGGGCAGATGGAGCTCGTGTAGCCCTGTAAGGCCATCCATCTAAGAGAAGGATACTCTAATTAAACCTACGACCTGAGGACTTTGCTGTCACCGTCCAAGCTCGCTAGGCCCTGGCAGATAAACCTCAGGTGTAAAGGGTGAGGCCAGTTCTGCGCACGCTGTGCCTCACCTAAAATAAATCCACTGCGCAGGCCCGAAGGGTTTACCCCCACTTGCAAAGCCCTGCAGCGACAGGCGAGGGACGAAACGGCAGGTGATAAGGTGCACTGGAAGTCGCAGACCCAACCCTGCATGCAGGCGGTTCAGGACATTGGTCGCTCAAGTCTGACCCAGGAGATGACAGTCTTGTTCGGCAGCATCCTGAATGACCAAGCAGCCTTTTTCAAGGACAGCAC